GCACAACATGTCCACACTTGTGTCATGTTTCTTCAGACCTTTTAAAATGGCTGCAAGCTCAAAGAGGCCCCCATTAAGCCATGAGGAAGTCAATTGTATCTTTCTAAATAGGTATTGTGCTAAATTTAAAATCAGTGAGATTTAAAAAGTAACCATGAGTCTAACTAGTGGTAAATCCTAAATTCAGAAGAAGAGTTAGAAAGAATTAAATACCCTATTGCTTACATTTTAACCAAATACAAATGTTAACTCGATGCATGTAAAGCATACATTACCATTGTCTTCATGAATTAAAAAAAAATTATATTTTAAAGTAATTCACTGAAAACTGGACTTTTGTTTAAAGTTTTGAATCATTTTAAAATTGATTAACATATTTAAATAGCCTTCTGCTAATTTTGGAGAGTGACTGGTTAAAATTGAATAAAATGAACATAAGAAGGAATTGATAAATTGAAAATAAACTCTGAGGTAAAACATACAGTCTTGAGAAAACATTTCTGTGGTTAAGAAACCAATCTAAGTCTGTAATTATGTAGCAAGATAGTTTGTTTCAAAATATTGTACGTTCTTGAGGATTAGTTATAAGAAAATATAACTCACATGCTGGAGAAACAACTCCTAAGGTTTTACAGAACTTTGCTGTTACAGCACATAATAGGGGCTAATTTCCATCTTTACTGAATGCACCTGAGAAAGGGTGTAAGTAAAGGCTAGAGAGAGCGTGATGTCAATGCTTATCTTTTTCTCTATATTTTGATTGCAGTGAGACAATTCTTTTCTTGCATCAAATCTTTCTAAAAGGTCTTCAAACACGGATGGAAAGTTGGCCAACACTGATCTTAGGTGTGTGTAGAGCTCGTTACTGCTTGTGTCTGAAGAAATTTTTGCTTTAATTAGTTTGTTCTTGTTCCGTTGAGCTGCAGTATGTTGTTATTATGAGTACATAGATATCTGCAGTGTGTTGTCATTGTCAGGATATGGACAGCACAACAAATACAAATCGATTTAGCTGAAGAAACCTCAACCATACTGGATGTGATATATCAGAGTTATATGTTGATTAAACATCCACCAAACTTTCCGACAATTTACCTCATGTGCTCAACAATCATCATTTCATCGGGGATCAACTTGTAACATCAGGCCTTGTCCTCTTTTAAAAGATGGTTTAACTAACAAATTGGCCGAGCACTTTGAGCCCACCGCTAGAAACGTTTCCTTCATTTTGGTTAGCTAGCGTTGGCTAGATAGTCGAGTTTTATTGACTGATGCTCGAAATAGTCCCATTTGGCCTGTCCGGACAGATACAATCCGACAGTTATAACTAGAAACATTTTTTAAGAGCTGTCAAAAACCACACGTACTCGAGCATTTTTTAATTGATACAATAAAAGGTGATTTAGGCTGTTAATCAGAATTTTGGCAACAAAAGAAAAGTCTCCAATGCCACGATCTGATTGGTGTAGACAATAACTCACTATCTGATTGGAGCGATTAACAAGCCTCAGTGAATGAGCAACAGACCCCTATCCCGTATTCTGATTAGTTGTGAATGACGACTGCCAATGCCCCAACAATCTGATTGATGCGAACAACAAAGCTAACATCATTTGGCTGAGTAGAAAATTTATCAAAGTTTTTGGGGCAGATTTTACAGCAGTAAGTTGGAGCCACTACAGCTGCACTACTATTACCCAATCAAACATATCTTCGGAAACTATTGCCGTTTATACTGTGAATGTGAGCGCTAGATATTCGATATTTATTGCAAAACACATGTAAAAGACGGCGGTGCATATTTGTTAACAATGCGGAAGGTTGTGTATACAGGGTGATCTCTGACGTATCTATCATTTTTGTTCACATACAGGTGACTTATTTGATATGCTACTACCCATGTTAAACATTTACCAAGAGTACGTTCGCAATCATCATTATTCTCTACAAGTAAGTCCTCAGCGGACGGTCTCTCAGTTAGTTTAACTAATACTTGATTTGGTCACCCGTTTTTTACTCAATGCTGACATCTATCAACTCGCCTATGGCCATTTTCTTTTCTAATTTTTGTTTTAGTTTATTTTTCCAATTTCTTTCCAGCTGGCTATTATTAATCGAAGAGCACCAAGATCAGTATCACTCTCCTTTCGTTCCGCAGCAATCGTCGCTTAAAGATTTCTTGGATTAGATTTTTTACTATTATATGTGTAAGCCATTGGCAGAGAGATGTCGGCTGCCAAACAGGAATAGGACCGTCCCACACCAGCTGTTTTTGTTTTTGTTTTTGTTTTCTTTTGTTCTTTACGGCTGCCTATTGAAAGTATATTGTTTCTTTTTTCTTAGACTTTGGCTGAGTGTAAACAGCGGCCAGCATTCAGTCGTCTTCTTAAGCTGTATGAAGAAAAAGCAATTTGTGGCGGAAGGACGCTGGAATATTTCCTAACTGCTCCAATGTATAGGGTGAGTAACGGATACGTTACAAAGGTTGGATTGAATAGGACCAAATCTTGCGATGGAGATTAGGTATTACCATAGCTAAATATCTTAACCAGTCATGGCACTTAAGCACTGATTGTGAAAATTTTTAAGTTACACTATGTAAAACTGAACTTCACAATTACACGGTGAAAAAGAAAATGGCAATCTGGGTGTCGGAGCTTTCTTCTTTTAATTTCTAGCATTTTTTCTCATTTGTAGTCGGGTGAACAGATTTTGGCTTTTACACAAATACCACCAGTTCTTGTGGCTCGAACCCAAAGATTCCGATTTAAGAGATTAAGGCCATATTCACATGTTATTGGACAAAGTTTTTACCGGTTAAACGTAGTAACGAATCATCCTGAAGGCGTCACTTTGGATTTGATAGCGGGGGGCTGTGCGCATAGGCATTTGGGAAAACCACAGACAAACGTTAAGAAGCCATTTGCTGGTCAGTTGCACCTTTTTACGGGTGATATTGTTGACCAGTGAACATGATCAAAAAAAAATTGTAGGAAAGTATGGAAAAAGAATAATTGAGAGCGCGATTATCGTTGTAAATTGATTGATGATATACATGAGAATATTACAAGTGTGAAGTTTTAACACGAGTGTGCATTTAAAGCCAAAATTTCGTCGGTCTTGACTTAATGTGATGCGTTTTTCATGTAAGTAACAACATGATTTCTCGTGCAATTTGGTGTAAATAAGCCACGTTTCTATTTTCTTGCGGGGGATCTAGTAATGCCTATTCTTTAAGGAAATGGCTAAGTATCACTAAGTAACCTGGTAACTGCATTAGACAGTTAATGTCGTTTGTAATCTTGTATACTTACTGTGCCTTTTCTGAGTAAATAATCATGTTGATGCAACGCAGATTTGATTTCCTGAGGAATGTCTCATATTAAAGAGAAATAAAAATTAAGGAGAACAAACTCCGAGCCATTTCTAAATGAAATGACGGGAGGTGTTTACTTCGAGAAAACACTAAAATTTTTGTGTCAAATTTAATTTGATCTTTATCTTAAGCCCTAAGAGTGACTAGCATCAAATTTCTCCCTACAATGGTCATGGTCATGAGAATAAAGGAAATGATCAACAATGAAAGTAGCTTTTTGATTGCTAAACAATTTTCCTTGCCAGCACCTTAGGATATGTATAAAGAACGGTGTGGAGAATATGTACACTGATGTTAGGGTGTAAAGGGTTAAACATATACCCATCAACACAAGATGGCTGATCATAGGAGATAATTCTGTAATGGGCGTGTTGAAGCTCTAACATCTATTAGAACATCATTCAATGTAAGTCAAAAGAATGTATTTTACATACGCTATGCCTTCATTCTTTTGCTTTCACCTCTCACCTCTTTAATGTATATTCACTGTGTTTGTGTCTTTGGATTGTCATCTATTTTCTTCTACGTCCTGCACACCTTTACTTTGAATGAAAGCCACCATACACTGTCAACAACGTCCTTGTCTTCCTGTACATTGATTGCAGTTCTTTTTGTTCCCCACATCAATGCCTGCATTATACCTGAAAAGCGACACACATAACCTTTTGATAGCTGTGATAATATTCTCGGCTTCGAGCTTCTGAAATATTCAGCTTCAACTTTATTCTTCTTCTCTTGTGATTGGAAGTACAGATTGTACATATGGCCGCAGTTGCTTGTCAAACATTTCAATTAATGTCTTTCTGACAGATTGAGGTTTCTACCAATGATTGGCTGCTGTCTTGGCATGCGTTTAGCTTTAAATATTCGGTGCTTTTACAAAAATTCTTTTTATCATTGTTACTAATATTATTATTATTATTATTATTGTTATTATTTTTATTATTATTATTATTGTTATTGTTATTATTAGGGATTCGTTGCCATTCGTATGTAAGATTAACGTACTCACAAAAGCCTATTAAAAGCTTTCAAAACCCGTTGTAATCTGAAATATGTTTCCATTTTTCATAAATTCTTAGCACAGTTGTAGAAGGCGCAGGCACTAGCAGTCTTTACCCTTGTGATCTTCAAATTGAGCCCTTTGCATTGTCTTAGCGACCATATTTAGAAGAACGACGACAGCCGCAGCCCACAAACTTTTAATAATGAGAGTTGGTTGCAATGACAATACATATTTTTTGACCATGCAGTTTGACGCTTAGCGCAGTTTTTGCATGTTTTGGTCTGCGCACGAGGTGATTTGATTTGAGTCAAATTGATCGTCGATGGATTATTAACTTGAATAGCTATCTTATAGTTTCAGTGATCGATTATGGAGCTCTACAGGAAATGCTTTTTTCTGACCGCTAGCCAACCAGGATATTTGGTGTTTTTGTCTTAGAATTATTCAGAAGGTGGCAAAAATGATTTGTAGGCTTAAATGTTTCCTTGCGGGGCTATTGTTCATCTTAAGTGCTTTCTCTCGCGCCATTAAGTATGTCTGGAACAACTCCGCTGGGAGTCCGGTTTTATTACAACCCTTATTGGTACAGGATTGACGAATATAATCAAAGAATTAATTTTGTTTATGTACCCATGATTCTGTATGCAGTTGTGACAGTGTTAGCGTTAATTTAAGAGAGGTTATAAGGTATTTTTTTCATCGATTTTCATGATATTTCAATAATGCATTTATTGAGGTACTGCGTACGCGCTTACGCTATTCGTCGGTTGTAAAAAGGAACTCTCATCGTTTCTTTTTCGATTTACTCTCGTAACAACAGATGCTCTCTTTGTTCCTAACTCATTTTTATATTTTGCTTTGTTATTTCAGTTATGACCGCGGCTGATTTTTCAAGCCAAACTTACACAAGCGCAGGCATTGACTTGTGTTTATGTCGTGGTTCAGATTTCGGATTTGCTTTATTATAATTTTTTTATTGACTTTTTTTTCTTCCTTGTCTACCTTTACGCGCCAGTATTTTTCGTGCAGTTAGTCTCCATATTAATCAGTATCCAAACAAAGTCCACTCTTATGCTCTGCCTATTTTCGCACGCCTATTAGTAATGCTCGTTATAAGCTTTTCGTTGCATTCGATTTTTGAAAAGCATGTTTTTGAAGGGATAAATTCTATTATAATTTGGTTGTGCTAAATGATAGTGGTGAGGCAACTGACTGACTAAAGACTGATAGCCAATATCTATCTGTCTTTCGCATTGTCTCGACAACGCTATCCGCGCGTAAAACATATTTAAATGCATCAAGTCAACGCGTAACCAGCACGGAAATTTGATTCTTGTTGTTAAAGTCTTAATTGAACGGATTTGTCTCCCCACTGAGACCACTTTGTATCTTAAGATTACGTGGTTCAGGAAAACTACGTTTTTTCCGTAAAGCATGATGTTGATATTATCCGTTTCGGTGTTTTGCTTGTAATTTTGAGTGACATTGAAGCTTCTGTCGAATGTTGTTATCCGTTAATTTTTCCAAATTGGCTTCTGAAACAAGGCGTGAACGCTCAGGTGTCACTGGGAGGTGTGAAGATTGGCTGAACTCATGGGCAGACAGTGTGACAACTCCGTTTTCATGTGTATATAACGAAATGGGCAGTGACTTTGTCCTAACATTGGTGTAATTCTAAGGTTGGGTCTCGTTATTAAGTCATCTCTTTTGATCTGCATGATCGTTATTCTTGCATAACGCGTTTGTTTTGTTTGTGTTGTTTTTTCTTTTTCAATTTTTGGCAAACTGTATAACCCATGATTTTTTCCAATTTGTACCAATTTGTTGTAGCTAGATGTTATACTTCCTACGGTAATCATACAGCTTGTGTCTTTGGTATAATTGTTTAAGTAAATGGCCGCCTGTTTAACCTAAGTGGTTATGACAAACCTGCTTTCTTATTAAAAGGAAGGTCAGCTAGAACTGGTTTAAGAAGCTTTCACAAACCCTGTCCGGGTTTGACTCGGTCCATTATTTTCCCCTCGGGATTTGCGGTGAGTACAGTTGCAATGCAAGTCGTAGAGAGGAATTTTGAGCTGATACAGTAAAAGTTTTTCTAAGTGTATTGGAGCTGGTCAATGAGAAGGCCATGCCAGTTCCGTACCGTTCTTTGCAGGATTCGATTCAGTTGCTTATATTACGTTGATAGTCTGTGGAAAGCAGAAGAACAACATACAATCGAAAGACTGCGAAACATTCAGTTTCACTGCTGTTCAAGTAGTGGTCATTGCTTCGAAGATCACTCTCATCTTCGTTTATTAATCCGCAGTACAAATATATAATATTCATTTATTCACAGTCGTTCATTCATTACTCATAATCACGGGTTGATTACGAACTAACAAAAAGACCCGCTCTAAGTTGGCTTATTGGCTCAGTTGATAGAGCTCTGCAACGGTATCGCAGAAGTAATGGGTTCAATTCCCTAACTGGCTGAATTTATTTCAGGCTTTATTCTCACTGCTGCTTTAATAGTGTTCATTACTGTGAAAATTACCCACTTCTTTATTTGGTAATCTTCAGTTCAGGCATATTATATTCATATATATGCCCAGTCTTTCAGACCTCGAAACATGTTGGGGAAATGAGAAGTGAGTCTTTCCGCCCATCTGGAAACAATAAACCGACTTTCATATTAAAATTTAAATGTGCATTAACGCGCTTGTCTTCTTTGGGCTTAACTGTATTAGGCCAAGTAATGCAACTGTTTGCCAGTCTTTGCGTTCTCTTCCAGACCTTTGCTCTCAAAATTCCCTTCTTACGTTCTTTCGCTCATTATCTCTCGCTGAGAGCCTGTTACAGGCTTTTACAGGTCGTTTACAGGTCGTTTTTGACGATATTTGCAATTGATGTTGTTCATTGATTGTTGGGATATCACTCCGGGTACTAATTTGTAACGCAAATTCCTCCCAATTCCTCATGTTATTTTCTCAGTCTTAAATAAAAGCTGTGCCGTAGCAATACGAGAACAAAGACTTTAGTAAGTTGGAGCCAATGCGACGTTTACACAAGCATCGCTGCAAGCATCGCCGTCACTGTGCAGCTTGTTTATCCAAATAATCAAATACATTCGTGCTCTACTAGTACATGTAATGATTACCGTCCTCATGTAAGTAAAACAAACATTCAAGTCTTTACTATCCTTTATCAAGGTCAAAAAGTATGGAATTCACTTCTCTAGGAAGTAATATGCTCTGATACCCTCCTTGTTTTACAGGAAAAAAAATTAAAAAACAAATTTATTGAGTACATTGTAAATGAGGAGTCCTCCTTGGTATAAGCCTGCTTATTTCTGAAGGCCTCCTCTATATTATTATAATGATTACTACCTTTTCGTTTTCTAAGGCGAACTGAATGAATAAACAAATAAATAAATAGTTTTATTTTCTTTTGTATTTTTTTCAAACAGGTGCCGGCCTACATTATAACTTTGCATGACTTGCTGGCTCTCACTCCTCATGATCACGTGGAGAGAAATACTTTACAGTATGCGCAAAGTGTCTTGGAAGATCTTTCCACGGTAAGCCACAAGAGCTGCAACCAAACTTCAGCAGGAATGGTAAACTGGTAGCCCTAATTATTAGGCTAACCCTAAACTGGATAATCCTATTACTAAAGCATATTTTTTCTAATAATAGCGCTGAGTGCGTGTTTCCCGCTTTGAGCTAGATTCGTCGTACTACCTTCAGCAATTGTACACATAAGAGCATAACTTGTATTCGGCTGATTTTTTTCTCTCCCGGTAAATTTAAGAACGCCATGTTTCGCAAGTAGGAATGCGAAATATTTTATGTCGAATTTGAAAAAGTTAACCCTCAGACAAGTACTACAAAACCTGAATAATGATGAATGGCGTTTCCGGTGGAAACAGACCCTACCCCCATCGCAAAAGAAAATGAATAGATAAATTGATAAACCAACAAACAAAAAAGCAAAAACAAACATCAAAGGAATAAACAAACGATCACAACCAAGAGATAGCGAACCTTTTTTCCAGACTAATATTTTACAGAACTTTCAAACTTAAGTTTATATGAATTATTGTCTGTCAGTGGCTTTGAATGAGACACCCATGCGACCATTGGCTAAATACTGATCTCCCTTCAATCGCCATTTCTGCCACATTTTGTATTTTGTTTGTCAGGTAATGCACGACGAAGTCAGTGAGACAGAGAACATTCGTAAAAATCTGTCCATAGAGCGTCAGATTGTGGAAGGCTGTGATATGCTTTTGGATGTCAATCAGATTTTCATAAGGCAAGGTAACGTAATTTTTCACGTAAAGTTTCCGTTGCTTGTCTTGATCACCTATCAGCTGTGAACGTAACGCAAAGAGATTTCATCAGTTTATCTTTTCATTTTGTTTTCTCTTATGGCTTTAATTGTTTGTTTCTCACAAAAAGAAACGTCTAACTTGAGTGCGTATTTTGTCTTAGGAAATTTAATTCAGGTTACAGAAAATCGTAAGGGTAAAACGTTTGGTGGATTGTCGCTGAAGTCTTCGGAAGGAAGGAAAGAGACTGTTCGTCAATGCTTTCTGTTCTCAGGCTTCCTACTGCTGACCACTAGATCATCAAGCGGACGCCTTCACCTTACTAAGGTACAACTCACCGCACCAATGGGTTAGCTTCAATATGAGGTGGCCCCAGTTGCTGATTTGCCTTAAGCAAAGTCTTACAAAAAATTCCATCAACACATCTACGCTTTGCGAACCTGTAGCAAAGATTTAGTAATGACCTGAAATGTAAATAAGTTATATAGGATATGCAACATTTAATCAAACAAGTTCATTCAGAAACTTCGTCGCTACTTCGAATGTCACCACTTCGATTATGGCTGGGGCGCCATTGCTAACCCGTGATATTTCCGTGTCGTGGTTTAACCCTTTCACTCCCAGCGGTTCAAAGAATGAATATCTTATTAAAATAACCATTTTCAAACAGAGAGGCGGCGAGAAAGAAGGGAAACATCAACTAGGTATATCGTTTGATTTCTCACGAAATTCTCAGATCTAATATCATGAAATTTTTGGCAGACAATGTGGAGAATGTTGTTTAGAGTTTGAGTAAATTGTTTTTTTAAGAACGTGCAGGGGAACGTTTTGATTGAATAATTCATTCGAACTCGCAAACTTTTTCTCAGTGTGGTTCTCTTGGTTTGTCGTAGAATGGTGCTAACATTTCTCTCGCTGATGCTACTTTAGTCGAGGACTATTTTGAAGACGGTAAGTCACCTAGGCTGTTTTAAACGTCAGTAGAAAGACTAAGAAAAAGTTTTTCTGTCGTCTTTTAAATTCGAAGAATGATGTCCAATATGAAGTTGGAAAATTAGCAGATCGGCTTTAGTTATTGGGCCGTCACAACGGAAATTGCACCTGGTGTTGAATTGGTTGATGATAATGTTTTTGGAAGGAGGGGGGGGGGGTTCGTAAGGAGTCATCTGGCGGAACGGGTTGGTCGCGATTTGTCCACTGTAGGGCGACTTTTTTTTCCCGATTTAACCCGGGCGTCAACACAAGTATGCTTGTATCGCAGGGGATGTCGAAAGCCTCGGTGGCCGAGGATACCAGGAATTTGACTTAGACGATCTGACATTTAAACTGATTGTACGATCACGTGATAAGCCTGAGCCAGGACCTCCCTATACTGTAACTTTAATGGCTCCGTCGGCACAAGAGAAGGCTGCTTGGACTTCTGATATAAGCCAGGTACACTAACCAGATCATCACCAGCACTGGCCTTACTTATTAACTCAACTAATGATTGTCACGAGATGTAACCAGGATGTTTAACAGAGGGAAAATGTTTTTCTAAACCAGCCCCTCGCTCTGCCACGGCAAGTCGGCTAAGAACAACCGCAATCGGATCTTATTACAATCAAGACAAATTAACCTTATGTTTGCCTTCACTACGTTTAAACGTTTTGTATTTTTGTCAGGTTT